GGGCGCAGAGGAGGCGGTTTCCCTTGGCCTTTCTGTGGCAGCCTCTCACCAGAGCCCTGCCCAGGCCAGTCACACTTATTGCTGGATTTGTGGTTTGTTTGTTGTTTTGGGTTGGGTTTTTTTTTTTGGTTGGTTGTTGTTTGTTTTTTTTTAACCTCGGTAATCTCTTTATCTTCCACATAACAGCAGCGTGGGAGCCACCTCACAGCAGCTCACGCCTCACATTTGGCACAGCCATGGGGAAACCCCTGTGAGGAGCACCGCTCACCCGGCTCCGCCTGTTGACATTGGGCAGCGTTTATCCCCTAAGTGCCAAGGCCACGGCACGCCCGCACCGCCAGTGTGACAGCCAGCTTTGCAGATAGCTCGCTCACCTGTTGACTAACAAAAGGTGAGATGTAGATTAGCAATAATTAATGCCTTTTGGCTCCCAGCACTGATGGCAGCAGCCGAAGTGAAAAGACTTGCCTTATCCTATGGTTTCAGTAAGTTGACGTTGGACACCAGCGATCGCACATCCCTTAATCATTGAATTGTCCCTCAGGATCCTTTTTTTCCATTTGATGGCTCTCATAGTAAGAGGAAATGCCAAAAAAAACCAACCACCCGATCCCCTTCTTGACTCCCCGGCAGAGGTGTCCAGCCACATGCTCCCTTGGAACTCCATGGGTTCTCTGATGGGAGAAGATGGGGAAGGGGTGAACGTGTTGCAGCAAGGAGCTGGTGGTGACTGGGGATCCAGGTTTACAGAAATGAATTGCTGCAACTCTTTTAAGTACCTGAATTGCTGAAATGGAGCTTTCAGTGGAGCCACATGGACTCTTAGATGCTCAGCAGAGATTAGTGTGGTACCCAAACCCCAGGGGGTTGGGAGTCTTGACTTTATTTCCATCTTCTCCAGCTCTGCAGGTCCACTGCATGCGATCTGCATCGGCTGGCTGTGGGAAGCGATCCGAGACACATCATCTCCTGATTCCTTTCCTGTGCAACAAGGGCTCCTTTTCCTGGCTCAGCAGACTGCAGCCCGCTATAAGAACCAGTGACTCATCTCAGAAGGCTCATGTTTGGCGAAAGGAAAGTAAAGCCAAAACTTTGGCTCTCGCCCAAGGAAAACACTGTTGTCGGCTTGCAATGCATATGCCATAGAAGCCAACACCTCTATCGTATCAGAAATGAAGGGATTTTACAAATCCCGTTTATAAATCTTCCCTGTTTGCCTTTGCCTTCATTTGGACAAGGACAAACTGTGCAGTTGGCTTCACTTTTGTTTGCAGTCAGGTTTCCCCCACGATGTCTGGTTGACATTAAGCTGGGCCAAGTCTGGCAATAATGTCATCCTCTTGTAGCTTACTCATAGCTGCCAGACAGCCACCCACTTACATTTCAGCTTAAAGAGGACTTACTTAATGGGTGTACAAGAGAGAGGTGCCCTACTGTCTGAAAAGGGTTTATTTCCCATTGACAAGGAAGGCTGGCTTCCACTAAACAGAAACCTCTGCAACATAAAGAAAGATTTGAAACTCTTGATATGCCAATGAGGAAGCAAAAGTGGGTTTGAAAGCAAGTGCCCGACAGCTGTCTAATTGCATAGATATAAAGGGTGCAAAGTGTCCAACATTGTGGTAGCAGCAAAAGCACCGTGACAGACTCCGCACCGACAGGGCTGTTAAATGTCATGGTCTAGGCAGCAAGAGTGGGCAGGAGTAACAGAGGTCCATAAAAGATGAATCGTTTGCTCAGGCCCAGAACCCAGACCTCCTTATACCCAGCACCATACCCTTTCTGTCCCATGCTTGGAGGTCAGTTTTTATTTCCTTTGCACTCTTGCAGGAGAGTACAAACCCTGCTGCACACTCAAGCCAGTGCTTTATAAAATAGTGCTGATTGCATCCATTCTGTAGTCTACCCTGATAATAAAGGATGATAGTTTTTTACTTACATAGTTGTTTCTTCTTCTTAGATTCTGCAGGTACATCTGCTCAGTCCCTGCTCCTGTGAGACCTTTTGAAATCATCCTCTGAAAATAAGCATAAGGGGGCGTTTAGGAAAAGCGGTTGTGAGGAATACTTTGTTCCAAAATTAGAAACCAGGAGACCTGGCATTGTGAACTGCGGGCTCTCCAGTCTCCTTGCCTGGATTTTCCATTCAGATGAACACAGTCAAGAAGAACAAAAGGTTTGTTGTTTTTTTTCCACTGACACCTGTCTCTTTACTCCAAGACGGCGTTCCAGCTTTCCATTCTCCCTTTGGGAAGCAGAGAAGCTTTGCCAACAGTCACTGCAATGCCAGCAATCTCCATGCCAGTATGCAAGGAAACAAGCCTTGCACCGTCATTTTTGTTCTTTTAAGTATCCTCCAAGAAATGGCTTCCTTCCTGGAGCCCTGAAGTTGTTACTTAATTCATGGGACATGGGGGGAGGTCTGTGAACTTCATCGAAGTTACACAGGGGACCTGTGATAAAAGAATTGGATAGCCATGGATTATCCAGACCTAGGGGAAACCTAGGGACCAGGCTAGACAGCATCTAGTAATTGCTTCTTGCAATGTGAACGGCGGCATGTGGTCTTGGTTTCTCAGAGACAAGCTCATGGGATACCAGGTCTTGGACAGACCCCAACTCCCAAGCCAATAATCATTTAGCGGTACTCTTCCCCTTGCTGCTTTGGCTGTCCTTTTTTGCTCATTAATGCCATTTACCGCCTCTTGTTTATTCCTGGAGTTGAGTGTTACAGTCAGAAATGTCTGTTGTAGCCATCTTGGATAACAGAGCCATAGAATTGCTCCTGCAGCAAGTTCTCCTTTCATGGCTTATGCAGAACAAATCTGTTAGAAAGACAAGCCAGTTTTGTGATGGAGCAACTGGAGGTGGGCCAAGCTTCCTCCTCCCCTCCCTTCCCCTCCCCTCCCCTCTCTTCTCCTCCCTTCTCCTCTCCCTATTTTTCTGCATCTAGCTTGCTGTGATGGAAGTTCAACAACAAACAAACACCAACATTTTTGTTTTCCTAGACAGAAACAGGCTGCAATGAAGCACTGAGGCAAGAGAAGGCAGAAGTCTTCCTCAAGAGTGACAGCCTACTGTTGAACAGGAACAGCATTTAAGACAGAAGATACAGCAGCAGGAGGTCCACCCGTGCACTGAGCAGCACTGCAAACACTAAGGTAGAAGGTGACTATCACACATTGGTAGTGTATTCTTTTGAGAAGTTTTGATTATGTTAAAGGCTCACAATTGATGACCTTTCCCCAGGACAATAACGCTTTCGTCTGCTGGACAGTTTGCCTCCAGCGTTGCTGTGTTATTGCATCACCGATTTCAGTCTTTGACATGTCATCCACTGATGTCCATGTTCATAAGCATCTGTGCCCAACTTCATTAATGATGCATGCCACCGTCTTCATTCAGATGGTGTTTCAGGTGTTTGAAGTGACAAATTGGCCTGAATAATTTCCTCTTTCATTTTGGAAGCAACTCCCAACTGTTGCTTCTTTTAAGTCTCTGTGAGAATGACAACTTTGCCTTTAGCCTGTCACGCATGAAAAGTCTGACATCATTATTTGATGTTTTATTGAGTCTCCCTCTGAGCTCTTTACAGAATCTTGAATCATGTCATCTTTAGCTGTTTTCATAGAAGCATAAAACCTCCATGATCAACATGTAGTGCAGCACTGCTCAGAGACAGACTAGTGATTCTGTTACCAGACCTGAGGTGTCCAAGCATATGCTCTAATGTCTCTTTGACTATGACAAGTACAATCTAATTTTCCTGGATTTGAGTAGCATACTAAATCATGAAACACCTCTTTCTTTTAATGTATATCTGATACTCTGCCTAGATCTACCTTTCAGCTTTTCAAACCATTGGTATCTGTGGCAACCTGCCTTTAATGCTAAAACCTCCCATTCCAGAGACAATGCTTTGATGTTTCGACTGCAAAAGACCTGGCACTCTCTTCTGTGGTGGAAGCAGAAGGACACAGCCCTGTTCAGAGTTCAGTTCACTGCCTGCATAAATGCAGCCACTCTTCTTACTGGTCAGAGACTTTTCCCTGGTGTCATTTGTCATCCCTTCTGGGTTGGAGGGGTCTTGCCATCAGGTACTGTGCAGGGACCATCTGACCTTGGTTCTGCTATGATCATTCTTGTAGGAAAACATACAGACCGGTTGCTCTTTGTAGTTCAGCTTGTGACCACTATTCATTAAATCTGTCATTTCCTCTTCTGCCTTTCAGCAGTATTTCCTCCATCAGGAACCTAATGACCCTCTGCAAGCTCTCATCCACCTGCAATTACTGGACCTGTATGAGGTTTGCCAAGTGGCTTAAATACTGTTTAGCATCTAGTGTCAGCTACTGCTTATGGCTGTTATATGGGTTTGCAACACACTCTCACCTGCCTTATATTATGCCCTCAAAATACCAGAAAAAATATCTACCTATGTGAAGGATCAAACATGCATAACTGCAACTGAAGTAGCTTTGTATCAGTTAAGTGTACTCACATCCTTGGCTGATGTAATTCAACATGGCTTCAATGGAGCTAACCACGGATTTGCCTCAACCCTCAGTTGACTAAAAATGTCAGTTCAAAAGGCTTTGAAAGCAAAAAAAGAAATTGTGGTTTTGTGGTCACAACTAGACCTGGGAACATCATGTTTTTGTTGTGTTCTGATCCATGCTTCTCCCTATGTTCTTGGAACAGATCATTTCAACCATCTATCAACAGCAGAATTTCTTCTGCTATAAAATGGATGTAACATCTCTTCCCTGTCGCACAGGGCGTTTTGAGTGTTGACTGCCTTCATACTACAGACCCATCTCTAAGAATGCTCATAAAAGCATAGAATATTCTAGACAATAACATTTATAGAAGGATACAGTCAAGTCATCTTAGATGTTTAAACACAGAGATTCAAATGTTACCGTCCACTGGGTTAAATCAATAGTCTCTAGGCCATTTCTGGCATGCAGGCTATGATGCAAGGACAACGAGAACTGCAGTATAGGTGAGTCTCAGTGTCTGCCCAACTCAACAGCATGTCTGCAGCAGATACAAGCACTGTCTGGGACAGAGGAAGATGTTAGAGTCCTGCCATGGATGCTCAGGAACGGCTGTGTTGTATAGCATTTTCTTTTTCACATCCCCACTGGATAGAAGTTGGTTCGTGTTGAGTTTTATTTTAAGGGAGCCGTCGTCTTGTATGCAGTATTTCTGGGAATCATATAAACACTTTTGCCAGGTAATCATTATCACAAGAAAATGCCTTTATAAGGGCTCCTGTATAGGTTTCACATCTATTAGAATTTTCTCTTGGAGACAAATCCCAAGGTCATCGTGATCCTGCAGCCACCTTCTCCTCCTCCCCCTGCAGAAAGTAAGGTTCTTTGCTGGAGATGTGAGGAAACAACATTGTCCAAGAATGTGAAGCGCTGGCCCACAGGCTCAGTATAGAGAGCTTGGTCCCGATCCTGCAGGCAACACTAGCATCATGATTTGGCTACGTGTTGCCATGGAGAATGGCAAATGAATGGAAACCAAAAGAGTTGAGAAAAAAGCCTTCACTTTCTCCACTCCTCACCAAATCTTATTTACTGTGGTCTCCACCAAATTATACCTAAAATAGCTTTTGTCTGTTGCTATTTAGCCATTTAGGTCGGATCTACCAGCTGCATTAACTTGCCCCTATTGTACTATTGCAGTTGGATTGTTGCCATCTTCCCCCCATGGGTTTTCTACAGATCTATATTTCAAAGTTATGGCTCTCGCAAAGCTCTGCTGTGTGAGTTCAGACAAGCTAAAAAAAATTAGTCATGTTTCCTCTAGTCCTGCTGCTTTACTAGGCTTCCTATTTGCAATCAAATTATTTTTAATTTTGACTGTGTTCCTATTGTTTGGCAGGAAGATAATCATCTTATCTCGCCGCCGGGATATTTCTCTCCTTTCTCATGTAGTTTCAGATGGATTAAATAAATACCCCTTACACAAAGCACACCAAGCTGGGCAAAAGGGCATTTCACCATTGCTAGCTGATCTGAAATTTAGGAAATGTCTCCTTTTTAGAAAAAAAAAAAAAAGATTGGAAGGACTCAGATATGCCATAATGGCAGTTGTGCTAATTGTACTCAGTTAATTCTTATCCATCTCAGAGTAGCTTTATGGAAACACGTGGGTGAAGTTAAAAGTTAGTAAGTGACACTGGCTAGCAGATGACAGTTGTCCAAGTTTTTGGTAAGGGAGAAGCCAAAAAATGTCTGAGTGGTCCTGTGGGACCCTTCTGCTTCTTCTTCCCAGGTGAAACTGCATTAGCTCCACGCAGGGAACTGGGGATCCCCCACTGTGCCATACATCTGATGAGAAGGCTTTTTGCAGGACCATCCATGGATGCTCTTCTCCAACTCTACGTGTCTGGAGATTGTATCAAAGGGACTTAAATGGGAGCAGGTCGATTCACTGCATTTTGAGGTGAGATTTTGTGTCCTTTTCAAGGGAAGGGTAAATACCCAGCAAGGCTGAGCAACCAGGCTGCCAGCTCAGAGCAAATCAAATGGGGAGGATCAGGCACCTCTCAGACCTTTCCAGTTTCTCCAGTACCCCCTCTGTGGAGGAATGGGCTTGTTAGCACGCAAACGACAATCACGCAATGGAAAGTTGTATGGACATGTGACACCACTCGAAACCAAACGGCTGTTTTGTGTTTTGTAACCTTCACCCATATACACTTTCTTACTGCTGGACGCTGACTGGTTTACCTCCAGCTTCCTAATTATCAGAGCGCCGCTGCTTGTATTTTACCGCAGATGAGGAAATGAGGACATATGGCATTTGTGATAAGAGATTTATGTGAGCTGTCTGTGCAACAGAGCTGCAACTTTCTATACAAGTCCATTTATAAAACAAAACATGTGTAAACAGTCGGGGTTTGATTGTTTCGGTGATTTCTTCCCCCTCGTGACAGATGTAAAGGAAAAACTGTAGGTTTCCACTTGATGCGTGCAGATAAGTTTATGGCAAATGGGACAGATCCCAGTTGCGGTAAATCAGTCTCTACTTCCTTTGATTTCTGTCAGCTAAAATCCAGCTCCACGTGGGTGGATGGGAAGAAATACAAAGAAACTCAGGCTCAATGGCTGCTTGTACATGATTCACTTTCAGCTGTAAGAGTACAAATATGCCTGAAGGGTTCTGGTAGGAGCTTCTTCATCGAGAATACAGTAAGGAGAGGAAAATACCAATTGGAATGGCACCTGTAATCCAGTGATTATAATGGGTGTAATGGGTGGCTTTGACTACACCCCTGTAGAGTAGTTACCTTTCAAATCAGGGGAGGGATTAGAGAAACAAGGTCATGTTTTCAAGGAGCAAAATCCTATTGAATCAGTGGTGTCAGAGAACAGGGCAGGCTGGATACACGTACCTAAACCCATGTCTGGACCATGCTCTTTCAGTCCTTCTCTTATTCCTTAGACTTTACTCAAGAGGGTCCAGTTGCAGGGTAGAGAATCTTGGTTCTTTTCAGGGAATATCAAGATTTTTCTGAACTTTCTGGGAAGGTGGGATGGAAATGCAGGATGTCCCCTGCATTTTTTGGTTTTCTTGCAGTTTCAGCTGCAAATGCCACGAGGACAGTATTTCTTGTGCTATTTTCCACAATTTTCAGGCACCAGATGATAAATATTCTGGAATAGTTCTGACCTTGCCTGAGAAAGTCTAAACTGGGTCTGTTTGCAGACAGGTATTATAACTCTACAGGGCTTTCAGCTCCACACCTTTCACCAGCGTGATATATAGAGTCACCTTCCAAATACTGTTTGGATGACACAAGTTCCAAGCTCTGTGCACACATGAAAAAGCATCACAGAGAAATGCTCTCGAATTATATTTGTTTAACAACCTTCCCAGAAATCAGACCCTCTTCACTTTCACTTTGTCCTTTTTGGAGATGTTTTTCCCTTTGTTTGGGCAGAGAAGGTGAGTCACGGAAAAAGACAGCGTGGAAAGTTACATTCAGCCATGAAAGCGCATGTGATGATTACTGGGAAAAAAAATTCATCCACACAACTCAATCTCATTGTCACACCCAGCTCATTCGAAATATGCATTAAAATCTGTGGCTTTTGGTTGACCTACACTGCTGGCTGCTGCGTGCTGCTGCCTTCCTCTGCGTGTCACACTTAGCCTTCAGCGTTTGTTTCTCAAGATCTGAAAAATCTCTCCTGTCGGCTGTGTACGGCTCAGTGGATGGACACAAACACTGCTGCAGAGAGGGCTGGGGCGCACCTCTCTGCTCTGACGCCTTCACAGAGCAACGTTCTACCCCCACCCCAAGATGGGATGTCGCAGTATTCCCGAGTGGTCAATGGACGACAGTGCACAGAGAGTGCATCTCTGCTCTGGGGTCTTCATGCTCTGAATTCTCTCCTCTAGAATGAGGGCTGTGCATTTTATCTTCAAGTGCAAGACTCACCCTTTCCTTTTAAAATATGATTGCTGCTGCTGCCACCTACCTTTTAGGCTGGAGTGCATGTTAGAAATATCTCATACACCGAGCCTGGAAAGGAGCCCAGGATCTCCTCCCCAGCCTGAGGGGGTATAAACCCAAGCTCTAACCCATGAGGTTAATCTGTTGCGTTGGCAGGAGGCGTTATCTGCTGTTTGTGAGAAACAGTTTTCTGCCACGGCAGAGGAAAGGTTTCAAAACCCATCCAGCCGGAGAGATCACTTGTTGCTCTTGCCTGGTTGTGAGGGCTTTCATAAAGCAGATCTTGGCATTTGTGCAGCAGAGCATATGGTCATATCAGCCAGGGTAACGTAACAGGAGAGGAAGAGAAAGGTAGCTGGGAAGTGTGCGGCCCCTCAGCAACAGGGATGCAAACCTCGCTCTCACCCTTCTCAACTGCTCCACACAGTGGTTCTTGTAAATAGGTAGAGATGAATTGCCATCCCCTAAGGCCTGGCCCCAGCAAACCTCTGCATACATTCAAGTATGTTCTGGGAACAGCACAATCCCCTCAGGAATGCTGACACGTGTGGTCTGTGCACTGGGACCAGGTTTATCTATCAGGTGGTTCCCAAATCGCTCAGCTTTGCAGCAGTCTGAACACGTGGGAAATGGCGGAATATTTAAGCAAAATAAATGTGGC